TGCCAAAGTGGTGAGTTCTTGTTGGTTTTCATTTTAAAAAACCATCTCGGGGGGCGCCTGGGTGGCTCCATCGGTTAAGTGTGTGACTCCTGATTTCGGCTCAGGTCGTGATCTCACGGTCGTGACATGGAGCCCCGCATCGGGCTCTGCGTGGACAGCCGGAACCCGCTTGGAATTCTCTCTTGCACGTGCACTCTCTCTCTCTCAAAATAAATACATACATACATACATGCCATTTGGGATTATATCTAACCTAAATTAAGTTGGGAATCTTATCAGCAGAAGTTCTAGTAGCAGTTCAGTAGACCTCGTGTTATATGCAATTCTCAGTCATGGTAAACTTTACATAAAAGCCTTAATGGTAATATCTGAGGCTGCAAAATACTTATTTTATATTGGAAGTTTGTACCTTTTGGCCACATTCTCCCATTTTGTCACCCCATTCCCCCTGCCTCTGGCAACCACCAATCTGTTCTCTGTGAGTTCATTTTGTTTGTTTTGTTTTGTTTTTTAAAATTCCCCATATGAGAGAGATTATATGGTAATTGCCTTTTTCTGTCTGACTTACTGCACTTAACATAATGCCCTCAGGGTCCATCTGTGTTGTCCTAAATGGCAAGATTTCATTTTTTTTTAATGGCTGAATAACGAACGTCCCATTGTGTATATACGTGTATATGTACATATGTATGTAAATGCACATACAACATACACCACAATGTCTTTATCCATTCATCCATTGATAGACCGTCTGTTTCCATATCTTTCTTATTGTAAATAATGCTGCAATAAACATGGGATGCAGATATCTTTTCAAGTTAGTGTTTTTGTTTTTTTGGGATAAATACCCAGAAGGGGTATTGTTGGATCATATGGTACTTCTGTTTTTAATTTTTTTTCCTTTTTTTAATATTTCAAGTTTTTATTTAAATTCTAATTAGTTAACATATATAGTGTAATATCAGTTTCAGGAGTAGAGCTTAGTGATTCATCACCTACATATAACACCCAGTGCTCATCACAAGTGCCCTCCTTAGTGCCCATCACCCATCTGGTCCATCCCCCACTCTCCTCCCCTCCATCAACCCTCTGTGTGTTCTCTATAGTTAAGAGTCTCTTAATGGTTTGCCCCCTTCTATTTTTTTTCTTTCTGGTTTTAATTTTTTGAGGACGCTCCACACTGTTTTCCATAGTGACTACACCAGTTACATTCCCACCAACAATGCACAAATGTTCCTTTTCTCCAGACCTCACCAATACTTGTCTCTTCTCTTTTTGACAATAACCATTCTAACAGGTCTGAGGGTGATATCTTATTGTGGTTTTGTCTGCATTTCCGTGATGATTAACAATGTTGAACATCTTTTTGTGTACCTGTTGTCCATTTGTACGTCTTCTTTGGAGAAACGTCTGTTCAGATCTTATGCCCATTTTTAAAATCAGATTGTGTGGGTTTTTTCTGTTGGGTTTATGAGTTCTTTATATATTTTGATATTAGCTCTTTACCAGACAAATGATTTGCAACTATTTTCTCCTGTTCAGTAGGTTGCCTCCCCCCGCCCCCCCCCCCGACTTTGTTGATGGTTTCCTCTGCTGTGCCAAACTTTTTACTTTGATGTAGTCACACTGCTTTTTGCATTTCTTCCTTTTGGTTTTGGTGTCAGATTCAAAAAATCATTGCCAAGGGGTGCCTGGGTGGCACAGTAGGTTAAGCGTCTGACTTTGACTCAGGTCATGATCTCATGGTTTGCGATTTAGACCCCACATCGGGCTCTGTGCCAACAGCTCAGAGCCTAGAGCCTGCTTCGGATTCTGTGTCTCCCTCTCTCTCTGCCCCACCCCGACTTATACTCTGTCTCTCAAAAATGACTATAAACATTAAAAAAATTTTTTTAATAAAATTCATTGCCAAGACCTATGCCAAAGGGCTTATCACCTATTTTTTTCTTCTAGGATTTTTTTATGGTTTCAAGTCTTACATTCAAGTCTTTAATCTATTTTGAATTAATTTTTGTGTATGGTGTAAGGTAATGATTGAGTTTCATTCTTTATTTGTAGCTGTCCAGCACCATTTATTGAAGAGACTGTCCTTTTCCCATTGTATATTCTTGGCTCCTTTATCGGAAATTGACCATATATGTGTGGGTTTATCTCCCAGCTCTCTATTCTGTTTTCATTGATCTGTGCGTCTGGTCTTATGCCAGTACCATAGTATTTTAATTACTGTGGCTTTGTGGGTTTTTGTTTTTTGTTTTTTAATGTTTATATTGTTGGGAGATAGAAAGAGGGAGAGAATGAGCAGGGGAGGGCAGAGAGAGAGGTGGGGGGACAGAGGGTCTGAAGTGGACTCTGTGCTGACAGCAGAGAGCCCGATGAGGGGCTCAAACTCACAAACTGTGAAATTGTGACCTGAGCCAAAGTTGGACGCTTAACGGACTTAGCCACCCAGTCACCCCTAAATACTGTAGCTTTTGTAATATGGTTTGGAATCAGGGAGCATGATCCTCCAGCTTTGTTCTTTCTCAAGATTGCTTTGGCTATTCAGGGAGTTTTGTAGTTCTGTACAAGTTTTAGAATTCTTTGTTCTATTTCTTTGAAGTATGCCATTGGAATTCTAATGCAGATTGCATTGAATTTATAGATTGTTTTAGGTAGGATGGACATTTTAACAATAATGATTTTTCCAGTCCATGAGCTTGAAATATCTTTCCATTTATTTACTAATTCTTTATTTCTTTCATTAATGTCTTGTAATTTTTAGTATATAGGTCTTTTACTTGTTTGGTTAAATTTATTCCTAGGTATTTTATGCTTTTGATGCAATATAGATGGGATTGCTTTTCTTTCTTTCTTTCTTTCTTTCTTTCTTTCTTTCTTTCTTTCTTTTTTGATGGGATTGTTTTCTTAATTTCTTTTTCTGATAGTTATAAATGTAAGAGATGCAATGTATTTTTGTGTATCAATTTTATATCCTACAACTGAATTTGTTTACTTACTTGTTTACTGAATTTGTTTATTAGTTTTAACAGGGTTTATTTGTTGTTTTTTGGAGTCTTTAAGTTTTCTATGTATATCATGTCATCTGCAAATAGTGACAGTTTTACTTCTTTTCTAGTTTGGATGCCTTTCACTTATTTTTCTTGCCTAATTGCTCTGGCTAGGACTTCCAATACTTTGTTGAATAAAAGTAGTAAGAGTGGACATTTTTGTCTTGTTTTTGATATTAGAAGAAAGGCTTTCAGCTTCTCATCAT